AACCCCCCCCCCCCCCCACCCGGGCCAAAAAAAAAGGATCTTCATGCAGCAAAGTAAAAGAAATGAAATAGCTCGAAGCTTTTCGAGGTAATAGAATTGGCAATCAGTCAAAGCATAAGTACGAAATGTTACTTACATTGTTATCAATCAAATTAAATGCTTTCGTCAGTATCCTCATTCTCATGCGATCCTTCTTAGCCACTTGTTTAACAAGCTGTGATAAATGTTAGGATTAGACCCACACTGGTTCTGGTTGCCAGTGTATGTAGCAGGAGCTCAACAGAAGACAAAAATAACTACAAAAAGAATATTACAGCTAGATACTGGACATTCATCATCTGAACTAGGATATTGAAGCCTGAAATCCTTGTGTAGGAGTGATGAGAGAAGTCATTTCGGTTTACATTTTCCAGTTAAGAAAGTAATAGAAGATAAAAACATATAAAGCAGCAGCACCAGAATAACATTTAAAATTTGCAAGACAGCATAGTGAAAGAGAACTATACCTCACTTTTAAAGCTATCATATACAACAGCAAGGATCAAATTGGTGACAAAGTAAACACCCAACAGGATGTAGAGAACGAAAAATAGGCAATACCAACGCGAGGACCTACAAAAAGGAAGAAGCATGGAGGATTCAGTAAAGTTATAGAAGTTCAATTAAATAAAGGCAAGTACGAAATCTATTATAAGTTCAAAAGGTTCAGTATGATAGCCGACAGTATAAGCAATTGTATTTTTAGTGTTATGGCGGTGATGCAGTCCAGGTGTGTCAAAGTAGGTGATCATTGATATACAACTCAGGCAACAGTATCAACATCAAAGAAAAAGATAGAACCAGCCAAGATGGCTCTCTGAATTACCACCCTGAGGAAGGTGGTGTCCAGTCATGATAACTCTGACAAAAAAGAAAAGAGAAACAGAGAGCTGATAATAGCCTTTAATGGATGCCCTTCAAGGGTAAAGAACTGTACTTGGTAAACAAACGATATGAGAAATTATATAATGTTAATGTCACATTAAAATCACTAGAACTTATACTGTAGTTTTTAAAACCAGCCTGGATATTGACCTGGTCAAGGTTGCATGAAACTTACTGGTTCAACTGTTGGGTTATCAAATTAAATATAAATAAAATTATTTATTATTATAAAAAAAAGATAGTGCATAATGCAAAATGGTCATAACTAATAAGGCAATAATGCATTGCATAAAATAAGTCTTTTAACTGAAGATGAAAAGAGATTTTTAAAGGTTTTCTTGTAGAATTTATAGACTTCTTAAAATCCTAGTATCACCCTCGTTTCTCTTACACACTAACTTTTTTCTTAATCAAGGTTTACGTATTTATTCATATCAATAAAGTAAATAAGATATATATTTAGAAAACTTTACTTTGCCAGTCAAATGTTAGTCTAACTTGTAATATGCATCTGACATCAAGAAACTTCTTCAATTTCTTAGCGTGTAAAGGAAAAAATAGTATATAAAGAATCTGATATTTGACGACTTAAAAAAAGAATATAATAATTGATGTCCAATTATATGTTGACGGGTAATAGTGGCCGAAGGGTATAGACTACAAAGATTTGCTCACGTATCTCAGGTTCAAGTCTCCAAGCATAAAGTTCAGGACTTTTGTAACCCACACGGGGGTTAGCGGTCAAGGTCGGCAGTTGCTCAAAACCCCATCTAATTTTAAAGGCCCTTCAGCAGATCAGTTACAGAGTGAGCAGTTAACATCGACCTGAGCAGTTTTAAGATCCAGTTTTCCAGTCAGACCAGCCAGTCTGATCTGGGTGTAAGACAAGCTGTAGTATACTATAAAAGTGAATAATAACTTCAAAAAGGTATATTACGATTTTTTGGCAGTAAAAGCTAATCTTTCTTCTTTGTATATCATGGCAATGTGACTGCCTTGCATGCAAAAGGTTCTCCTTTTCATTTTATTTTCCTTTTTTCAGTGGGTGGGGGGTGTTAGTTGTTTGGAGCTGCAATGAGCACTGAGGTCAAAAATTATAAAAAGGAAACTAAAAAGGCAATCAAGAATCAATTTTTCCATAGCCACATACTTGTATGCGGGAATCCAGACATCTGGATTGTTGGAAGTGGTAAATAGAACAAACAGCTGGTATAGAGTTGTGCCATATGAAGTAAATAAAGTCTTCCCCTGTTCGGTGTCTTCAAAGATAACAAATGCCAGCCAGCTAGAGAATAGAAGAAATAAAAGCCACAAAGCCTGCATTTGGCCCCAAAACAAATAAAAATATAAGGAAAAAGAGAAGTTCAAATATCATTTTCGTAATGAAGAGATTCAAATCCAACACACGAGTTGAACATGATAAAATTTAATTCAATTAAGAGCTTGTTTGGTAGGAATTTTGATAATTGATTTTTTGATCGTTAGAGATTAAGTGGGTCCTACCCTGAGAGAAGAATTCAAAAATGAAGGCTGAAATAGTAAAATAACGGTGAAAAAATTGATTTTAATTGGCTTTTAATCCGTAACAAACAAGCACTAAATATAAGAAATATTAAGCCCCCATCTTGTGCTGCTTTTTTGGCAAAATTTTATCAGATTTTGATACTAATCACCATTTAAACTCCTGTTTTTATTGTATGAACTCTGACAATTTTCAAAAGTATACTGTAGCGAAAAAAATATTTCATATGGATTGCCAAATAAGCCCTTTATTCATTGTTCAATTTATTGTTGCCAACCAACACCACTTTTTAAAAACATTTCAAAAAAGGAGGGTAACATGGACTTTTTTCAAAAATAAAGCCGATTGTCAAGTTCTGAATTTCATTTACTTTTTCAAGCCTGTGTGCTGGTAATTCTTTGACAACGCAAAAATAATTTGACAAAAAAAAGTTTGAAATGCAATGACTATGCACATAACCAAAAAAACAATAACTTTCTTCCAACTGAATTAAATTTTTTTTTTATCTAAATTTGAAATAAGAGAAAAAATAGTTTGTTAAACCATAGGTCCCCAACCTTTATAATCTATCTTAATTTTCATCCCCGATCAATTTTTTAATATGTTTCATCCCAACGGTAGATAATTTAGTTCTCACCGACTCCTTACATCTAAGGGCATTTGGTAACATTTTTATTTTTTTACTTCTACTTTTTGTAGAAAAGTTTCTTGAGAAAGTTACCTTGATTAATGTTTGAAAATTAATTTTTAGAAAAATTCTCTCTAAGAGCTTCTAGAAGATATCAAATTGGACCATCTTCGCTTGAAGTTACCTTGATTAATGTTTTAAAAATTAATTTTTAAATAAACTTTTAGAGGAGCTCATTAGGAACTGGCTTCTTCTAATAGCTGTCTAATATGAAGAAACATTTATATAAATTAATCAAATGAATTTAAAAAGTAACTTTTGAATCTCAAATTTATTTATTTATTTTTTTAATTTCTGAAAAGTCATGTCAAATGGATTGTAAATTTGCCATTAAATTAGGCATTTACCTTCCACCCAACTTTTTGTCAAACGACAAATTTATTAAATCACTTAAAATAACATTTTGCCCATTAGACATGATAGTGGCCACGTCACCTCTACTACAATTATAGTACTCCCTCCATCTTATTTACGCCTTGTTTTAACCCCATTATTTTTTTATTAAAATAAAAAATATGATCGTTATCCATCATATCAAATCACCATATTTGACTTTTTATATCTTGTGTGGGGCCTATAACGGCTATATTTTTCATTTTCATTTTTACAATAATGTGGCTCAAACAGGGACTTATATAAGTTGATTTTGTTTTTCACACGAATTAAGAAATCTTATGTAATGTTATTAAAAACGTAATTTTTGTCAAAAACTTTTCTAATTTACCCTTATTTAATTACCACACTAGGAGTAAATTATTTATGGAAGTAGTAAAGAAATTGAATGGTTAAATTTTCAATTCTTACATTCATAAATTATTTTGATCAGATTCATTGGGAGCCATAATTTGAACTTTTGAAACAATTTAAACTAGGTAAAGTAAATAAGGGTATAATAGTAAACGAACAAAATAAAACATTCTCAATAAAGAAACATAACTATTTAATTGGGACAAGAAAATAATAAATGTCGGCCTATATAAAAGGAGTAGAAGTTTTGAGTGGACTCTATTTTTGGTTTATTTATAGAGAAGACAAATTGTATTTTTAACAACATTTTAGATTATCAATAAAAGATGAGCATAAAATTGTTTTGGAGGACAAACTTCGCTAATTATTCAAAGAAGGATATAAATGTTATAAAATAAAAGTTGGGGACAGAAGGGACCATATTGTAATTTATCCCTTTTGGAATGCGATAGCGTAATTTTAATATTTAATTAACTAGTTCAAGGGTCTCTACATATTTTGATTAATCATGCTACATGCACATTTTTTTTTGACAAGATTATGGACATTGTGCTATGTGACGACACATGATTTGACAGTTAAAAAAAAACTTTCCTATCCAACACTTTTTGAATTCCGACACAATGTACTCCAAGATATAATCCATGCAATGTACACTTAGGATAATTCTATTAATCATACTACTCAAATAGGGAATTTTGACAAGAGCATGCATTCATTGAAATATGATTTAAAAAAAAATAAAAAATGAACAAATTAAAGTGCAACACGTCATCACTATTAACATGCCTGTTCGCGAAATAATTCTTTCGATTTAAATCTACCACAAGTGTACAGTTCGTAACAAGTAATAAAGTGGATTTTAATAAGTCCGAATATCGTCCCTCAGAGATTGAGTAGTTCAATTCTATATAATCTAGCCTTAACCGAATCTAATTGAGTGAAAATATGGTCAAAATGCAAAAAGTCCTAATTTCACAAAAAGCCCTAATTTCTAATGAAAACCCTAATTTCTCAATTAGAAACCCTAATTTCGAAATTTCTCTAATTAAATGACTCAAACACTCAAGTAAATGAAATTATGCAAATTCAAAAGCTAATTTATGGAAATGAATTAAACTAAAATCACTAGAATCACGAATCCCCAATTGAAGTTATAAAAACCCTAATTTCATAAAATTAATGACTCGATGGAAATTTGCCAATTCAATGTTCCTAGTTCTATCCAATATATTCTCTCGATATATATTAGACCTATTTTTATACACCACCAGCCTATATATTTATGAATGATGCAAATATACAAAAATGCATGTGGTTTTGTGAACAATTAAAGAATTGCATAAAGCATAGGGGTATATCTCTATCCCCTATCGGACCCTATGTTGATTTACACCTTATCGAACCTATTCCACTTCTCTCAAATGTAAGAAACAAGTCATCAACACTCACACAATCATTAGCCACTAATTGCGGAAGAAAATTAATGCATATAAACTAATCAAATTATCCAAACGAGTCTTTATATTAAATTCATGAAATATGGAATTAAATAATAAACAATGGTTCATCGATCACCTAGTAATTGAAAACCTACCCTAGAAGATTCATAATTACAGAAAAAACGAAATTAATAAATAGAAAGAATAGCATCCGTATGAAAATTCTTGAAATCTTGAATAAAACCTTAAAAACCCGCTTGAATCCTTGTGAAATCGGCTTCAAGTTCGTGTTTTTTGCCTCCAAAAGTTATATTTTTCTTCTCCCTGGATGTTCTGCCCTATTTCTGATGAATTTTGGCTTTTATATCATGTCCTCACGGAACCCCGAAAGAGTTTCAATTAAAAATGGAAGTTCAGATTTTTCTTCGAATGTTAAAGCCATGCGGCCGCATGGTTCAAATTTTCTGCTCAACAAAATCCCTGCCTCCTCATGTGCGGCCGCATGGTATAGTTACATGCGGCCGCAAGGTTGTAACTTTACAAGCTTGCTATCTTGGTCCCTGAACTCTGTTTTCTCTTTTCTTGATCTCTTTTCTTTCTTTTCTTTGTTCCATTATCAAATATTGACTGCTAATTGATGTTTGGGTCAATCAATTCCTTGATCACTTGCTCGGCTCATCTTTTGATTAATTGCAATTTAGTCCTTCATCTCACTTTTCTTCAATTCAGTCCAATGTTATTTCTTTCTTCCTCCGATCGACTTGTATCGTCCTCAATCTCATACTTGGTATATTTTCATTCTAGTTCTGCACTTTAGCTCAGCTTTCTAATATTTGCACTTTTGGTCCCCGAACTATCGCTTTGTTCCGTTTTGGTCCTTTTCGGCTCTTTTCTTCTGAATTCCATCTTTTCCATAGAGACACCTACATTGCATGAATTTAACGAGATTAAGTCACAATTCAACTATTTTTGTCCATGTTTAAGTCATGTTTGTGAGCTAAATAAGTGTATAAAAACACACTTATCAAATCCCCCAAACTTAAACTATTGTTTGTCCTCAAATAATGTAGTGACTTAATGCTAAACAAACATGGCTTAATAGCTTGCCGTGTTTCAGAATTGGACTTAGTAATAATAATAGAAACAATATCAAGAGTGCGAGAATTGAATCAACCTATACTCATCAAATGCAATACTCAACGTGTGTGTGTGAACTCATGTCAACATATCAAGCTTATGATTAGTTTATCCCAGACCCATAGTGGTCAAATTTATCCTTATGTCACTCGAGAGATACACAATCCCCAAATGTATTCTTTTCACACAATTTCTTCGGGGTGTATTCTAAGGTTAGGAGTTTAAACAATTCTAATCCTTACCCTCTCTTAGTTTGGATAGATTTTACCATTACAAGTTCACATATCAACAAGTAGAGACTCTCCTTATTTTGATTGCTTCAACCTTTTAGGATTAAACTAAGCTACTTGCCTCGCATCGAGATTATAGTTCTATCAACCAAATGTCCAACGAGCGCTTTTATTTATTTATTTATTTATTTATTTATTGTCATCTTCTCATTTGCTTTCTATATAACCCATGTAACGAGCTTTGGACGATGACTCCCAAACCAGTTAGCTTTAGGGCACCAGGTTTTAAACCCTTGCAATCTTATTCACTCGAGTTATACAGGCTCGATAAGATGACTTTTTATCAATTTCTCCCTTTTCTTGCTTTCTATATGACCCTTGTAACGAGTTTTAGGCCGATGACTCCCAAACCAGTTGGCATTAGGGTATCAGGTTTTAAAGCCTTACAGACTTACTTACTCGAGTCATAAAGGCTTTTGAGAGAAGTGATAATTTTCCACTTTTTACTTTATGCCCCTTCTTTGTTTTTCTAGACATGTGACTTCCAAAAC